GCTAACGTGCCGCAAAGCGGCACGTGCCCATTTGCCAAATTACCGTTATTCGACAATTTTTGCCCAATATTGTATACTTAACCCGCAACAATAGTCTGGTCGACAAATAATATTGCATTTTTGAAAGGATAATTCCATTACTTCGGTACAGTGTTGTACATTTTTGCTGTCCCAATGTCCCAACTATGTACCAAGTCTTAATAATTAATAAATTAATTTAAAAAAATATATATAATTATATATTTTTTTAGGTGCTGAACACATTCTAAAAAAATTAAATTAAATTATATTAATTAAATTTTAAGTAATTTCAATTTATAAAATTGTCCCAAAATGTCCATGTACAACACTGGGTATACGTGTATGTGAAAAAATGCATCGTCATCATTATGGCGAAAAAATTACATCGTTACAAAAAATTTAAAATTACTATTCATCTAACTGTTTCTCTTGTATTTTGTTTACGTTTCTAAATTATATTGGTATGATTTTTTTTAAAAAAATTCTTATTAGTAAGGTAAAAACAATTATTTCTGAAATTGCCGAATTATAACCATTAATCATCATTATGAGTCGATTCACAAAATAATATATATGCTGTTGTATGTGCATTTTATAATGTCCAAGAAATAAAATCTAAAAATCGAATCTATTTATATTTTTCACATTAAACATCAATATAGATGGATCAATTATTGTGGGAGGTTATGCTAAAAATGGATTATGCTGAAAATTAAGGTCTCTTTTTAAATCTATAAAACCTACTAAAATTCACATATAGTTTTTCAATTATTATAAAACGTACCTACGATGTTTTAGCACCATATAAAATTGTTTCTAATAAAATTTAGGGTTAGGGTTCGAGTATTAAGAATTATATTTCTTTTTATATAATGTAATATAGAGCTAATATAAGGTCCCGGTCTCATTTTCGTGAGGTTTTTGGGAACCTGAACATTTTTACATAGAGTACTCGATCCCGTTTACTTAGTACGTTTTGAAGAAATAGGGACCTATGATGTTTTACATCATAGGCGCGTTTTAGTAAAATTCTAAATATATAGTAAGTTTCTTTAAAAGTGCTTAATTTTAAAACGACGTAAACATTTTTTTTTGTTCAAGAAGTCTTCATAGTTTCAAATAAAATAACATCCTTCACATCCTTCGCAGACTTTGACATGTCATTTTAATGCAGCAAAAAAATAAATAAATAAAATCAAAATAAATAAATAAAATCAAAATAAATAAATAAATAAGTAATAACGATATTACTTTAATAACAAAAAATTTGCGATAATAAATGATTTGTAATCATCGTTATAAGCAGGTCCGGGCGACACTAGTGTCGTTATTTTTCACCATGGCTAGGGCACTTAACCATTTTCGCATTGAAAAAGAGATCAAATTATGCGATTATAGGCCAAATGTTTTTTAAAGAAATATGGTCGGCCCGGTTGGCCGGGCCGAATAATTTCAGCGGCGGGATCAGCCCGAAAGTCTGGCATCGGCCCATATCACTAATAAAAACTTACTATGTTTTTAAGACCACTAAAATATAACAATTATTCAATTAAAAATTAGAATTAGATGCAATAAAAATATTTACTTTATAAAATTGTATTTAAACTAATAATAAATCTTTTAGCTTTTACAAAAAATTTTTTATGCAATTTTGCTACGTATACTATAACTCTAACTTTAATATAAATTGATTTTTTTATTTAAAGGCTATTAATATTAGAAATTTTGTTGTTTAAAAAAATGATTTTATACTTCATTATTTATAAAAAATATATTTTAATACTTCTGTGGGATTAACTATTCTTAGAGGTATGGTAAATAACGTGTGACAATTATTGCTGAATAACAAATGGAATCTTTGCATTAAAATGACCCTCCGAGGCTATGTTGATTTTCTGAATAAAAATTAAAATTGCCAGCCATCTAGAAATTCAATTCAAATAAACATTTTTTTATTTTGTAAATCTCAATAGAATCATTCAATTTGGATAACTAGATGGCTAGAAGTTTTAATTTTATTCACAAAATCAATATAGCCTCGGAAGGTCATTTTGATAGCAAAGATCTCAAATAGGCTCAAATTGTACTAATTTGGGCCCAATTCTTATATAGCATCATTTGCCACGCCCCCGGAAAAAATTAATCCCTTCAGTAATTATTTTTTTGATGTATCTAAACATATTTTAAGATTTTTTTTTATTATTAATATTATATATAATTTGATTAATAAATAAATATTAAACCAAATATTTTTCATCAATTATAGCTTGTTTTACTTTTTTAACATCATATCAAAGCATGTAAATTTATTAATTTTTAAATTAATATTACATTAATTTTTAATTATAATATTATATGCAATATCTATTACTAAACAGACTAAAATGTACTTGCACTTTTTCTATTTATAGATTTAAAGTGTTATTATCTACAACTATTTATTACAAAGATACATTTTTTGTTCTTAACTGCCTCTTAAGTTCTAAATTTTCTAAAACTAATCGTCGTCTACTCTCTCCTTCAGGTCCTTTCCATTTCGAAAGTTTGTTTCTGTCTTTTTTGTCTGCGAGTTTCATAGCAGCTAATATAAAGTCACTAGTACTAGTTTCAGGAATTGTTTCCAATATCCAATCAATTGTAGCAGATTGCTTTTCTCTAGCAGCCAAAACTAACAGATTCTCTCCATGATGATCTTTTATGTCACCCTTTGCTCCGTAATCAAGTAGTCCATTAAGCACCTCGATTGGCCAACCTATCTTTACGGCCAAAAACAATGCATTAGGTGCATTATAAGGAGATACTCCTGTGATTCTTGATGGAATATTTGGATTTGCTCCTTTTTTTAGTAAAAAGAAAATAATCGGTGCGTACTCTTTGTGTCTAAATCTGTCACTTAAATAGTACGATAATATTGTATGCCTAAAATTGTCCATAGCATTAATATTACAGCCATTTTTAACTAAAACCTCTATTGCTTCTTTCATATACGTATGAAACTTTTGTAATCCTATATGATCATTAAGATCTCTGGTAAAGGATGTATTTTCGTATAAATAATGCAATGCAGTTTTTCCAGTGTTACTTGAAACGTATCTGAAATTCGCGTTATATTCTTTTAAAAGTTTAAATATTTCAATCAATTTCCATCTACTATTACAATATTTTGCGGCGATTATTACAAGATGTTCCACTGTATTTATGAAACGATAAATTCCATCAACATTCGCACCGCAGGCAAAATGATGACGCAATCCTTCAACGTCACCGAATCCAGCATGATAGCTGGCATGACATTCACCAGTATATTCAAAACCTAATGAAGTTCCATATTCTTCTTTATATCTTTCTCCAACCTCACAGCATTGTTGTATTTTTGGGCACAACTAAAGACAAGGAAAAACAAATTTGTAAAAATATATTATAAACTAGATCATAAATTCATAAATAAATAAGTAATTATCTAAAAAAAAAAAACTTACGTTCATAACGTCAGTAGAATAGAAGTAATCGCTGTTAGGAAAGGGATTAAGTGGTTGCTGGATAAAATTTTGAGCAGGGTTATTAACAATAACCGGTTGTTGTTGAGTAAAATTAAAAGCTTGGTTTTGAACAAAATTATTCGGTAAATGATTTTTAGCGACGAAGTTATTAATTGGCCTTGGAGGCATTGGATATTGAGTAACATAGTTCTGTGCAATATTTTTAGTTGGCATTGTATTGTGTCTAATAGAATTCTTATGAGTAATATTAACTGGCATTTGATTTTGATTGGTAATGTTCTGAATAGGATTATTAGGTGGTATTTGATTATTACCAGCAAAGTTATTTATTGGCCTTGGAGGCATTGGATATTGAGTGATAAAGTTCTGAGCATGGTTACTAATTGGCACTGTATAGTGTCTATTAGAAGGAACAATAGCTGGCACTTGATTTTGACCGGTAACGTTTTGAGTAGGACCAGTAAAGTTTTGAGTAGGATTATTAAATTGCATTTGATTTTGACTGGTAAAATTTTGATTATGATTATGAACTGGATTATTTTCATAACCCAACACGGTTCCATATTCGTTTTTATATCTTTCATTGACATCTTGATTTACTGGTATCGGGACCTAAAAATAAGGTAAATAAATTTATAAATATATACTGCATTATAAAATAGATCAGGAATGAACAATGAATAATCAAAAAAACTTACATCAATAAGACTTGTAAAATAGGTGCTATTACCATTAGTATCGGGTAAATAAAGTGGAGATGATGTAATTTCAAGTGGATTTACGAATGTACTTATATTGTCTTGACGACTTAAGGAAAGTTCGCTATATTGAGATGATAGATCAATAAGATCGTGTTGACTCAAAGTTCCGTTAGGAATAGAATTTTCTTGTACTGAATTATTTGAATCTATTGTATCGGGTAAATAAAGTGGGGATGATGTCGTAATCTCAAGTGGATTTACGAATACACTTATATTGTCTTGACGACTTGGGGAAATTTCGCTATCTTGAGGTGATGTTTCTACAGTATGGTTTTGACCCAAAGTTACGTCAGGAATAAATTGTTTTACAGTATTGAAAATTAATTTTATTGGATTTCCGAATACACTCGTATTGTCTTGACTACTTGAGGAAACTTCTCTATCTTGAGATGATGTTTTAACAGGATAGTGTTGATTCGAAATTTCATTAGGAATAGCATTTTCTTGTACTGAAATATTTGAATTTACTGTATCGGATAAATAAAGTGGAGATGATGTCGTAATTTCAAGTGAATTTACGAATTTATTTATATTTTCTTGACGGTTTGAGGAAATTTCACTATTCTGAGATGATGTTTCTACAGGATGGTGTTGACTCAAAGTTTCGTTAGGGATAAGTTGTTTTAAAGTATTGAGAATTAATCTTATTTCTGGACGGTTGGCAGGATCGTTGTCCCAACATTGTTTGTAAAGTTCAATATATTGGGATGGAGTACCTTTAATAGGTGTTTCCCTATTTCCTTGAAATATATGAAAACAGAGAGCCATTTTCGATTCAAAATTTTGGAATGGTGGTCTTCCACTTGAAATTTCCCAGAGAATTACTCCGAGGCTATATACGTCAGATTTCTTATCTCGTTTGTATTTGTGATCTTTAAGGCATTTAGGTTCCATATATGCAGGCATCCCCTTTATTATCGAGTTTGAAGTCATTGATATCTCATTCATCTGTTTTGATAATCCAAAATCTGCAATCTTTGGTTGTTCTCGATCAATTAAGATATTCTTCGAATGCTATGAAATATATTAGATCATAATTTATTGTACTGGAATTAAAAGACATATAACGAAAATAATATACTTACAAGATCTCTATGAATAATATTATTGCAATGTAAGAACAAAAGACCATTCGTTATATCCTTAGAAATTCGTAATTTATCTTTCCATTGTAATTTTGTAAAATTTGCTTTTAGATATTCTCGTAAATTTCCACCATCAGCATATTGCAAAACCATATTATAATTTCCGTTGTTGTCTATTTAATTATAATTTATATTAATTAATAAATTTTATATTTAGCAATAATAATCTACCGTGTATACTGTATATACCTTTCGTGACTCCATAAAATTTAATAATATTTGGATGGTAATCAACTCTTCGCAATAGCTTAAGCTTTAATTATAATTATAGAAATTTAAAATTATACCAGGAAGCATTACAAATATTAATGTAACAAATACCTCATTAATAAAATCTTTGATGGTTTCTTCATCTATACTTGTGTCGACTTTAAGGCATTTAAACGCAACAGTTAATTCACATTCTTTCCACTCGTATTTAAAAACCGTTCCAAAACCTCCACTGCCAATCACAATAGGATCTGTAAATTTGTTATATGCTAGATGATTAATATGCCCATCAGTAACAGCTTTTTCAAGCCATTCTTCTGGTATGCTGGTCATGATTTTTTGTAAGTGTTAACCTTAGTCGAAAAGTATGTACTGTACGTACATGTCAGAAATATAAACACTGTACTTATAAGTAGTATGTGTTACGTAATACATAATTTTAATACACCAACGAGATAAAGTGTTGCGCTAATGCAGTGAGTATTGAGAATAGGTAAACTAAGAGTAATAAATAAAGAGGAAATTATAGTGCTTAAAACCTATACTCCACAATTATAAGAAATGCTTAATTCTCTCATGATGGTTGTTCAATAAAATTGGGGACATTTGAGAACAGGAACCCTGTGATTATCACATCACGGGAATATGCATTTGGTCTAAACTAATGTTTCACAAATATAAACAAATATCCAGATCGTCGAGAACTGACCAATTCGGGACCTAGTCGGGGGTACTCGTATACTGAGTTCTGAGTTGAGTTAGACCAGTCAATGGTCAAGCTTGACCAGATCAATTTGACTAATTTGACTAGTCTATTAAAAAGATTAATATTGGTTAAATAGGTCAATAGCGATAGTATATATATTTATATATTAATTTTTATATAGTTTAGTAAGCTTTATTTAATTAATAAACCAATTTATCCGGCAAACTCATATGATCATGAAAAAATTTCTTTTTTTTTTTTTTTTTTTGAATTTACCTTAATATATAAGGTGCGCTTACGGCGCTTTACTTTTTGTTATTTTATTCATGTGTTGCGATATAATTATGTTTATTCCAATATTCAAATTAAAACTCAGCGAGCGACTCTCTACCAATCATGATCATAAATTGGGATAACAAGATTGGGAAAATTGACGAATAAAGACCGATTCGACTAGAACCTTTTTGATCAAATTTAGTTGACTAACAGATTTGACCAACTCTGTATCCGGATTAATCTGGATTTATCAATTTGGATACTAATTTATAATCCAGACATAATTTACAATTCATGTTTTTTAGATAGAAGTTTGTTTGGTTTTCATCAAACTATATATAACAGAATTATATCTAGATATATTCTTTCCAAGTATTGAATCCGGATTTATTTAAAATCCGGATTAATCCGGATATAAATATTAAGCAACCAACTCTAATTTAAGGAGATTGTTTAGCGTTGGCTTTCGAATAAAAGCCCAGGTAACAAACTGTGTGCTCATTGTTGTAATGTGTATCAATGCGTAGAGTACTGTATGATAACTAGTTACCATGAATTAGCCAAACGAAGAAAAATATCAGCGAGAGTCGAGAAATACCCAAAAAGTTAGAAAAACTCATGACACGTATGCAATAAAATAAATCAAGGCTTGACTGTTACAAATTCATTTGAAAACAATCAAACCCCTAAATGCAGCTCGTTTCTTACAGCTTAGGAAGTAATAACGATAAGAAAATGACATTTATGGAAGTCTAAAATATATGGACCAGTTGTAATTGAATTTAGAAAAGTCTATTTTTTTTCAACAAATTTGGCTAACTACGTACGTACTAGTTTGTTTTATAAATTAATTGTGATATAAAACTGTGGATTAGCAGGATTAAGAAAATATGTTATTACGAATTAAGTTTATTTAACTTTAATTAATCGGAGAAACTAATTATAAAAAAATTTCTTTAAATTACTGTATACAAATCATTGTCAAAATGACTTCCTTATTAGTTGAAGTTTAAAAATTTATATTGCAGTATTGTATCACCATTTATCCACTTATCCTACGTATGAATCTGTACGTTAAAGATCACGTTACTGTGACATTTTTCCAATGACGATTATAAAGTCTGCATTAAAAAAACATCGCTCATTAAAATCAAAAAAAATGCTTTTTTTTTATCTCCTCGTCGTATGTCTTGTATTATACTATGTCATTAAGAAACTGAGTACTCCACATGGTCTTAAAAAACTTCCTTCACCAGCTGGTGGCATATTTTATTTTGGTACATTTTAGGGATTATATAAATATTTTATTCATTTCTCGTTTTACAGTTTAATTGATATAATTAAACTTTTTATTTAGGAAATTTTTGGCAAGTTGGTCCTGAACCACACAAAAAGTGAGATAAAATAAGTATACAATATTATACGAAATAAATAGAATAATTAAATGAATTTTTTTAAAAAATAGATTTACAGAATGGGCAAAAATATTAGGAGATATATACAGTATACAAATGGGTCAACAACATTGGATTATATTAACAGGAGATAAAGTTGTTGGTGATCTTTTACAAAAGCGTATGTATAGTGTGCTAGATATTAGCAGATTAACACAATTATAACTAATTTTTTTGACATTATTACTATTAATATTTATCTATATTAGGTGGCGGAAAATATTCGTCTCGTCCACCGAATCATTATTTTTATCAAATATTAAGAAGAAGTAAAGGGTTTGTTAATTGCCCATATAATGAGAGATATAGAATGCTTGCACCTATTAGTAAGTAATTATTTAAAATTTAAATATAACTTAATTTTTTATTTTGGTCTCACATATCAGTATTATATGTATATAGTGCTCGAGCTCTTAGGCCAACAAACTGTAAAAGAAAATTCTGATTTGATAGACTCACAATTTCGTATACTTATGCAAAACCTTTACCGAGCTTCAGCGGATATTAAAGATAGTTTATTTCCTAAATATTATTTTCAACTAGCAGGTTTAAATATCATTACTATCTTATGTTTGGCTAAAAGTATAAAAGATGTTGAAGATCCGTTTTATCAAGAGTTTGAAAGTTATATGAAAAATCATTTAGAGCTTATCAAAGTAACAAATAGACTATCCGATTTTTTTCCAATATTGAGATTGTTTTCAAAAAATAAATTATATAATCAAGTAATCGAAGACAGAAAAATAGCTGAAGCTTTCTATGGAAGATTAGTTCAAGAAGTTAAAAATGATAGTGAAAATAAGCCTTGTTTTGTTAGAAGTTTACTTCGTAAGGTGGATGAAGGAATACTAGACGAGCTAGACGTTGTTTATCTCATGAGTAATATTTTTTCAGCAGGAACTGTGAGTATTGTAAAGTTTTTTCTTTTCTCACATTATTTTTGTTCAAATTTATTTGCTATAAAATTTTAGGATACAATTTCCTCAAGTTTGACATGGATCACAGCTGCATTAGCCAACAATCCTCAAGTTCAACACAAGGCGCATCAAGAACTTGATCAAGTAATTGGTCATTCTCGTTTACCAAGTGCTTCTGATGAACCAAACTTGTCTTATATACGTGCAATCATTAAAGAAGGGCAGAGATACTGTGGTCCGATTTATCTTGGTGTGCCTCATTATATTGAAGAAGATGATGAATATAATGGATATCATATTCCAGCAAAT